AGTTCTCTGCACAGAAGTGGCCTTGCAGACGGGTGTGGGGGGCTTCCTGCCCCCCCCCAGATGAACCCACTCTGGGTAATCACTCAACGGCCCGCTGCCTTTCTTTGGCCCCATCTCCGGAATGGTTAACTAATGTGAAATCGTAAGATTTTAGTGTGGTGGTTCTCAAAGTGGGCTTCCTAGGAACCACACCCCTGGGGGAACTTGTTAGAAATGCAAATTCTTGGGCCCCTCCAGCCCGGACCTCACGAAATGTTCAATAGAAACCCAAGGGCAGAGCTGGGCTGGAAAGCCTGTTCTCTTCAGCCCGCTCTGTTTTATTGTCAGCAGAGATACTGGAGGCCCCCAGAGTGGGTGCAGGGGCAGAAAGGGGTCCTGGCCGGGCCTGGGAGGGACGGAATCCTGGGCACCAGGCCCCCACCCCCAGGCCGGGAGGCAAGGTCAGGCTAAGCCCGCTCCAGCCGCTCAGTATCTCCCGTGGCTCTCCGGGCAGACGGTTGGCTGTGGGTCTGCCGGCAGGACATGGAGTGTGGCTGGGGTTCCAGCAAAGCCCGCGGGAACTCTGGGGATCGAGGCCACTTATCCCGGCCTACAGGTGACCTGGAAGGAAGAGCCAAACCATGCGAGAGAGCATTGCCTTGTAGCCCTGGATGTTCCCGTTCTGGCTCTCCGGGGGCGGCGGGTCCCACGTGACCTCCAGCTGGCTGGCCGTGAGCGAGGTCACCTGGATGTTCTGCGGAGCCATGGCCGGGGCTGGGGAGAGAGCAGTGCAGGACAGGAGCTGAGATGTCTGTTGACGCGTGCAGGGCCCCTAGCTGAGAGCCTACCCCGGGCCATCCAACCTTTATGCCAGGGAGCCCTGCAAACCCTCCCTGGAATCACGTTTAGAGATGCATAAAATAGTCTGCAGAAGTACAAAGAAAACAGATTCTATTGAGACACAGTTGGCAGAGTGTTCAAAAACAAAGGTATGATCCGGTCATCGCGGGCCTCGTGAGTGGGACGCGAGGCGGTGCTGGCAGGCTGGTCTAAGGGCTACTGTGACGTCAAGGTGTGACGCGTGCAGGAGGATCTGAGGTCTCAGCACCAACCGGGACTTGACAGGGGACGTCTGGGGGCCTGCCGCTGAGTGAGCAGCAGGTCCTGCTGGCCCTATGGGGCGTGTTGCCACGTTCGCAGTGGAGCGAGGCACTGCGTTTTGGATGGAACGTGGAGAAAATAAGGCATCTGTGTGCCCATGCCAGAGACCTCATGGGGAGGAGCCCTGTTCCCTGGGGCTGCAGACGCCGGGCTGATCCCCCAACGGGGTCAGGAGCACAGACAGCACCACTCCCTGTGGCCCTGCCCTGAGGCCCCTCACGGCTCCAACTGAGGACCGGGTCCTCCCGCCCCGAGGGCCACGCTGTGCTCCAAGAGGTGGGGAGGACACTGCGGCCGTCGGCTCGGCAGGCGGCCCTTGGGAAGCTGGGCGAGAGCATGCGTGCACACGCAGAACACGTCTCGTCTGCGTGCGCCAGCCCCGCGCCGTCTCCGAATTCCTCGCCCGGCACCTGTGTGCATGATGGGCTCCTCTCTGCCTCCTGGGAGCTACGCCCTTCCCCTGCCCCCTGTGCGCGCCCCCACGGGTCTGTGCTGGGCTGGACCCCGGAGCCCCGGAGCTGTCTGGGGGCCTCGGCCTGCGGGCCCGGGGCGTTTCCGGGCTGTGCGCAGAGACGACACAGCCACTGTCCGAGGGCGACGGCCCCGCACGCCGGCTCTCGGGAGAGAACGACCTTCGAGAGTCACCCCTTCCCCTCCCTCCCCACAAAGCAGAATAAAATAGTAATTAACTCCCACTCAGCCTGACACCGACTATTTATTTTGTTCTAACTGTGTGGCTCCCGTATGATCACTGCCCACCCTGCCGTTAATGGAAATGTTAATAACCGACACCAGGTTGTTGTGACAGATGCTCGGCCTCATTATCAGAAATTCTTATTTACCGCTCCATTAAACAACAGAATCACACAAAAAAACAATTCAGTCAAAACTAACTGGAGGAATTTTAACAGCCACATTAATAATCCAAAACATAAATAAAGTTAATGTCTTGCATGTTTGCCATCGGCAACTCTATCGCAAAATTACTGTTGTACAATTAAAACGTGAAAGGCGAAATTGAGCACGGCCATTACCCTGGTAGTTGGTTAGAACTGTCTGTGCGTGGTGCCCCACCCCCACCCCCACCCCAGGGTTTCCTTCCCAAACCCCGGGCCCGAGACTGTTTTCTGGACACAGAGGTCCACAGAAAACTGGGGCTCCCGGGGACTCGAGGCGGCTCCCGGAATTCAGGGGCCACGTGCCTCTTGGCCAAGGTCGTCACATGCTGGACAAAACCCATTGGTCCCGTGCAGGTCCTGAGCTGCTCTGACGTGCCCACCAGCTATCCTGCAGCACAGAGCTTTTGTGCCATAAAAATGCTGCAGGGAACAAGGACATTTTTGGTGACGACATCAGCAGGGAAGAGAAATGTGTGCAAACAGAGAGCAGAGCGTGTCGGTTTTGAGATGCATTTTCTTGGCTCCTGAAAGCGTCTGGGTCTCCACGCCAGCAGGATGACCCGACTTAGGGAGGCAATGCCGTTTACAGCCCCAAATACAGTACTTGTTGGTCATGGCGCATGTGCGGGGGGGCATGGACGGAATGTCTGACGAGCCCTTGCTCGCGCCCGTGATGTACGGTAAACACAGGTGTCAGCCTGGGATGCTTTCGTCCCATGCATGAAATCGGCATTAAAGAGCATTTTCGCATGGCTGCCTCTGACACGTGCTGAGACATGGATTGCCCACAAGCAGCCCTGAGAGGTGGCTTGCAAAGGTGATGCCTGGCGTCAGGGCTGGCGATGCCACCGCGCCCCAGGAGCCAGTCCTCGGTGGGGTGGCTCCTGCCATCCCGGCCACAGAGCCGCCAGAGACAGAGCCCACCGAAGCAGTAACAGAGGAACTTCGGGGCCTTTAGAAGTACCCTGCCCCTGAAGATTTCTGGAATCTTCTGGGATTCTGGCTGATTGCACAGGGAGGCCCTGCACACAAGCCCCACAGAGCAGGAAGGGCAGCACTTCGCCCTTCTCACCCGACCCCCCCGGGGCAGACGCACTGCCCCGACCTGGCCGGCCAGCAGCAGCCGGGTCAACGAGCAGCTGCCGGGACAACATGGCTATGCCTGGCTCCATCTTAATTTGCTGGAGAGCGGAGAGCCCTGGCTCATGGCCCCCTAAGCCCGTGCCCACCAGGCCCCAAGCGGACCTGGCCACTCCTCAGTCCTGAGCTGCAGACCCTCCCTCGTCAGCATTTAAGAGCTTCCGCTCCAAGGTGAGGTCACTGGACAGGCCCCATGTGCTCACACCACGGAAAGAAAGAGACAACAGGCCTGGAAAGATTTCTGGTAGATGAGTGCACGCTTGGGAGAGTCAGGGAAGGTTCTGTGTGCTGCAGGAAATAACTCTGCAGACTCACTCGCTCACTCGAACTACCCACTGCCTCTGCGGGAGGGTCGTCGGTCCGGCCTGGGGAAGTCTCCCTCCTGAAGGGCCCACATGTCCCCCCGCTGGCCCCAGCGTGGTTGATGACAGCAGAGCAGTAGTCACACATGGGCAGGAGTGACCCAGGCCACCTCCCGGCAGAAGCTTCCAGAGGGTCCCCGACCGGCTACCTCCTCTTTCCCCACTACCACCTGAGCAGCGGTTCCCACGCGGGGGCTGAGCCCTCAGTCTGTGTCTTGGAGAGGAGATGACGGGGGGCAGGAGAGACCCAGCTGGCCGAGGAGGACGGAGAATGTGAGAAATTACCGCTGGTGATTAAGCCGCTAGCACTTCGGCGGCTGGTTGTCACCACAGCGTATAATGTGCTGACATTTTCCTGAATATCGACCGGGCCCTAGGCTTGGCGCTGAGGGGTGGGTGGACACAAAGACACGGCAACACGTGACAAGAGAGAGAAATCACAGTAATCATGATACAGGGTGTGATGTGAGGACAGATTCAAAGGGCCACGAGAAGTCATTTCTGGCCAGGGACATGGGGTCTTTCCTGGAAAAGAGTATCCTTCAATAACGGGGAGGATTCAACATGTGACAATGGGCCAGGGAAGCGAGGGCCACGTACGAGGCTGGGACGGGAAGAGCAACAGGGTGGGGTATCTGCTGGGGTCACATCGGACAGATGGTCATCCAGGTGCCAGTGCCACCTGGGGCCGTGCTGGGCATCTGCCAGTGCTAAACCATGCTAGGCCATATCAGACCATGCTAGATCATGCTAAGTCATGCTAGGTCATGGTAGGCCATGTTAGACCATGTTAGGCCATGCTAAGGTCATGCTAGGCCATGCTAGGTCATGCTACATCATGCTAGGCCATGTTAGATTATGCTAGGCCATGTTAGACCACTCTAGATCATGCTAGGTCATCCTAGGCCATGTTAGACCATGCTAGGCCATGCTAGGCCATGCTAGATCGTGCTAGCCTATGCTAGGTTTCTTTCACTTTCTGCAACCCAGGGATTTATTATTTGGGTAGAGCAATTTTTTAACTGATACCTTGAGGATCATTGTTAACATTTTAACATAATGAGACAGGTATTTGTTTTATAGAATAAAAAAAATTATACATTCATCAGTTAACATTAATTACATCCCCATTTTTCTGGCCACTCTTTCTGATTTCCTGTCGAAACAAACAGGAAATAGAATTCTCTAACATAGTTTACCTTCTCAGCAAACTTTGCTAATACAATCTGTTCCTCTCAGCCAGGGTACCTGGAGAGAGACTCCGGCTCTGGGTAATTATCTAACCTCTGGGGCCTTCGCAATACATAAAGGAGGTCTTTAACTCAGTAGGGGACAAGTCAAGACTGGAGACAGAATAATGACTCAGCGCAGAAATGTGGGAAAGGAGCAGAATCTCAAAAGGTGAGCGGAGCCTGGAAACACAAAGGCTTCGTTCACTTCTGGGCAGGGGCACAGTCCCAGAAGGAAGACAGGAGAATCACTGTTGTCACCAACATCAAGTCCAATGCCCGGGGCCCCGCAGGAGGTCAGGCAGCTGCCAGGCCTGCCCTGAGGAACTCCAGGTCTGTAAACCAGGGTTCAGTTCGACATCACACAGTAACGTTTAAAAAAGCCTATAACAGAATTCAAAGTGAGAAGATCGTGTTTTATAAATCTGTAATGAACACGAAAGACATGGATCACCCTTTTCTCAAACCAAAGCCCTTCTCCCCAGACATCTGCAGGGCCTTTTGAAGAGTGGTGTTCTCATCTAGTTTGCCGGCTGCTGGAATCATTGTGACCCATCAGGGGGTGTGACCACAGTGCTGAGGACGGCGCGGGGGTGCGTGTGCAAGCCTTTTGTCTGGGCTCACCTCACCCTCATAACCCCAGGAGGCGGGCTCTCATCACTGCCTTTCCTGCAGGGGAAGACCGGGGCGGAGAGAGAAGGGCCTGGCCCCGGGTCTCAACTCACACCGCACTGGTGTGAGAGAAGGGCCTGGCAGCCCTTGACGCCCAGCGCAACGCGCGGGGGAGGGCAGGGGATCCGAGGCCACGTTCCCGGGTTCCTGGAGTGGCCGCCTCAGTCCAGCCCCATCTCACTCAGCCTGGTGCCCCTCACTTGAGCTCAGATGCCCGTCTTTCCTCCAATCACTTCACTGCTGAGTCAGAACCAACATAACTTTAAGGAAGCTTAACAAGAAAAACCAGGAAACAGGTCCCCAAAACCATCTGCAAAAACAATGTCATGGACTCCAGGCTACGGAGGCTGCAGATGGAAGATTGTGGGAAAAGCCCTGGATGGTGAGTTTTAGGATCTGGGCTCAGCCTGTGGGACTTGGGACACAGTTCCATCTCTCTGAGCCTCAGTTTCTTTTGTAAAATAGGAGAAAATACCAGACTTAATGGGTTTCAGAGGCGAAATGAATTAAGTTTTGAGAGGACACAGCTTGGCAGCCGGCAAGGAGGAGGCACTCAGTTAGGTGGCCTGAACACAGTGTCTCGCTCCAAGCCCATTCCCCTGCACTCACCGTCCAGCGACTCACTCAGCAGGCGTGGAGGGTGCACCGGTCCTGCTTGGGCTATGTCCCCATAGGGACTGTCAGTAGTCATGTCACCACGTGCTGATGTGTTTAAATGTCCGTCTCTCCTTGCAGTTCCTTCGTTAGCCAGGAGAGCACAGGTGTGTCCTGGGTGCTCTGCCTTCCACACCTTGGACACGAGCATCCTGGATGATGGAGACACTCCATGGTCCCACCTCCTGGTACTCACACCCTCCCTTCCTGTGAGCACTTGCTTCCGACCAGCAGAACGTGGCAGGCGTGGTGGGTGGCGGTGCCATGATTAGCATCCAGGAGACTGTCCGTCTCTATGGCTGGTGCCCATCTTGCTGGCCCTCTGTCCTGCCCTCTCATGCACTGAGAAGCCAGCAGCTATGCAGGGAGATGCCCCCTGGAGAGGCTCGCCATGGCAAGGAGCTCAGGGAGGCTTCTGTCCAACAGCCCATGAGATAGAGGCCTGCCAACCACCACACAAGTGAGCTTAGAAATGGCTCCTCCCCCAGTCCAGCCTTCAGATGAGACAGCCACCCTGGCTACCACCTTGGGGGAGACCCAAAGCAGAGGACGCAGCTAAGTTGTGCCTGAACACCTGGCCTCCACACACGGCGATGTTGCACATGCGTGTTGCTTCAAGCTGCGTGGGGAACATTTGTTATGCAGTGATAGATAACCAATGTATCCGTTGTACAAGCATGAGCTCCTCTAGGAAAAGTACCCAGCCGAGGCCCAGTCTCTGCACATCCTGGGCTCTGAAGGACTGGCTTGAATTTGATGTAGCCCCTGTGCTAAATGTGGGACTTCAAATGCAGTTCTCCCTCAGGCATTTCAGTGATAAAGGTGAGTGCTGAGCAAACCCAGCGTCTGATGCCCGCCAGTGATGCTTTCCACCATCACCGATGCCCATCACCAGCACTTCTCTCCTTGCCTGTGGAGTGAGCTTCCCACTGGAGCAGGACGCAGGCCCACGGGCCATGACTGGACTGTGACCGCTGGTGGTCTGTGTGGCACAAACCACGGTCCCCGATTAATCACCTGCACCGTATGCAGTTTGTATTTGCAAAACTCAAGCTAGAGGTAAGATGTTTCTTCTCATTTCACGCTTTAGAAAGCTGAGCCTGAAGGGGCAGAAGCTGTTTGTCCCAGAATGGGCTGGATTTGAACTGGGGTCTCCGTAACTGAAAGGCTCTGCTGATTGTCAAGGACAGGCACTGGGGAGCTTTCTGTGATGGGCTGGGCAACATTTTAAGTTTTGAGGGACGCAAGGTCTGGGTCACAGCGACTCAACTCTGCCTTCATATGGCAAAAGCAGCCACAGATGCTATGTAAACGAACGGGCGTCTCAATAAAACTTTATTTACAAAAACAGGCACTGGATGGATTTGGCCTGTGGGCCTGGTTTGCGGACCCAGCTCTGGGTCAGGAAAGCAAGGATGTAGGGCAGGGCTGGGAAGGGGGTGCTTGGCTGCTAAGCTGCTTTGTCAAGTATGAGTGCCGGAATGTCCCCGGCCACCAGCCTTGTGAGCCTGTCCCCGTCACGTAACCCTGGGACTGCCGGGTACAACAAAACAGCCACCAGGGCCTGGCCACTCGGGCCCCCTGTGAAGGTCGAGGCAGAGGTGAGTGTGCACGTGCTTGGGCAGGCAGTGGGGGGCCTAGGAAGTCCGGAGAGGCAGGTGACTTGGGGTAGGCAGCCCCAGGGAGAGTGAGGCTGGCCCAGAGTGGCCTCATCCACGGTTTTCTCAACTTTTGAAACCCTGTGTCCTTCTGTTCTGATCTGATTCCAGAGGGCCTTATTTTCTAGGAAAAACAGCTGCCTTGGATGAGGCAGCCACACTGGTATGTCCTGCTACTACTGACCAGCAGAGCATTCCTGTAGAACCCTCTGGAAGCTTTGGTGCTTCAGTGTTTCTCACCTGTAAAATGAAGGTAAACTCTGAGCCCCGCACTTGCTGGGATGTGGCAAGTCTGGGGTGGGGAGGGTGTCTCCCTCCAGTTCCTACTCTCTCCCACCAGACCCCTGGGCGAAGCTCCGGGTCAAAGGAACACGGTTCAAGAAATCGATGTACAAGTGAGGCTGGGGAATTAGGTCCCCAGCAGGAAGAGCTGAGGCAAGCCTCCACCCTGGACAAGCTGGGGCTGGGCATGCTGCCCCTCAGCCCTGCTCCGAGCGCAGGGAGGGGAGGAGGGGGCCGTGGCAGACCCCACATGGGCCCTCCCCGCGGCCGCCTGTGGGGCTGTCGCTGACATTCCTGTTGTGTAAGAAAAGTGAAAGAGCATTCTGACGAGGAGCAAGGCCGGGACGCGAGCCCAGAGCGTCCCGTTCCACGTCGCAAACAAACCCGGGAGGTGAGGGCCCACCATCCCTGTGTCAGCTAGTCTTTGAACACCTATGAGCCGCAGGCATACTTGGAGATGACTGGGCTGAAGCTGGGGGGTCCACCGGCCGTGAGGACCGGCGGGGACTGCTGCGAGGATGGAGACAGCAGATGGCATGTGAGGAGGGCGGTGGCCGCGGCATTTGACGCTGGGGACCACGAGTCAACAGATGTTGACCAGCCAAATGGGCTGTGGGCATCAAGGGCTGGGAGGTGTCAAGGCTGCCTGGGATTTGGGGATGGACAGAGGCATTGCCCCCGGGGCACAGGGAGGAGTAGACTCGGGAATCACGCGGCCCTGGAAGGCACCTGAGGGTGTGGGAACGAGGTGACCATCCTGGGAGAGGGACAGACAGACGGGAGTGAACGGAGCCAGAGAGAGAGCAGAGGTGGAGCCTGGGAGCTGGGGGGTTGTGCCACAGAGACCGGGCCCAGAGTCGGCCAGAGTCAAAGGCCAGGTCAGGAGCAGGGCTGAGAAGCAGCCGCTGGACCTGGTAACAAGGAGCTGAGGCGTCGGCAGTTCCAAGGGCAAATGCGGCTGAAGCTGGCAAGTCGCGAGGGAGGACGGAACGGAAGACGGAGGGTCGGCAGTCCCACGGGGGCTGCGTGCTGACTGCATACTGGATTACACAAGGAAATCGTCCTTAATTTTTCCACGTGAGATGATGCCTTCATAGTTTATGTAATCATGTACATATGTATTTGAAGAGTTCTTCTAGGGGTACGTGCTGGAGATACCTTTGAATGAAGTGATAGGACATTTACCAGAAAGGGTGTGATGTCTGAGAAGAGCTGCAGAATCAGCGGGCAGAGGGACGCGGTGCGAGGACAGAGAAAGCATGACCGGCCGTGGGCGCCGGGGCCGAGCTGGGCGGTGAGTGCATGGATGCATGGGGGCCCGCGGAGCCAGCCCGGCGGCTTGTGCCCACTCCCGGCTTCCCCCGTCACCGGTGACACAACACACGGAAGGAGGGAGGTTCCTGAATTCAGGAAGAGCTTGGCGGGGAAGGAGAGGCACAGGCGAGGCCGGGCTCTGGGGAGAGACTCCGGGGTCGGAGCACTTCCAAATCTGCGGCTTCGTCTGTGCCGCCAGCAGCGCGGTGGGCGGGCGCGAACACCCCGTCCCCCCGCGGCCGGTCTGCTGACTCACACGCGTGGGGACGGTGCTCCTCCTCCCCGGGGACGACCCGGCGTCTACGGACCCAGCAGGCACGCCAGTCCACGCGGGGCCCTGCGAGGCGTGAAGGCCCCGAGGACGGCCTCACCCGCTGAGAGGTCCCAGGGGAGGCCTCTCTCTCCGCCCAGAGTGCGAGCTGCTCAAGGACATGGTCTTCCCCCTTCAGGGGCCTCTTGAGCTGCCGAGGGAGTGGGTCTCTACCCATCGCCAGTACGGTACTCCGAGGAACATCCCGAGAATCGGCCGAGAACTCGGGACTCCGGATGGCGTGATGTTTGGGATCCTTTCCAAATAAAGCATTAGGCATTCGAATATTCTCCATAACCTTCCTACGTTGATGGAAATTAGGTTACTACAAGTGTCATTTATCTACCAACATTTCGTCTGCTGGGGAAGGCAGTAATCCAGGCTGGGGAGCACGTGGTGCAGGAGAGGGACGCCCAGAGCTGGGAGACCCGGTGATGCTCTCGGTGGCCGGAGATGCTGCTCCCGGGGGCACTCCTGCCTCAGCCCTCCCCTTGCCCACTCGGCGCCCCGACCCCCATGTGCTTGCAGGGGCTTTAGAATCAATACAGCTGCCTGACTCCGTTGCCTCATTCCCACGCGGTCTCAGGACAGGGGTCCTGGAGTAAGGGATGCTGAAGACAGCCTGGAGGAGGCAGCAAACGCCAGGCCATCCCTTGCAACTCTTCCTGGCCTGGGGAGGGGACGGGCAAGCTCCCCACTCCCTTACCAATACCTGCCGGGCCTGTTGGGGTCAGGCCCAGCAACACGGGAGGATGTCCCTCTGCGGGGACGCTCCAGTTGGAACTCGGAAGTGATGGCTCGTCAGGACTTTGTGCACCAAGGGAGCAAACCACGTGCTGTGGCCCCCGGGGGTGAGAAGGAGCCCCAGGAGCCCCCGGCCACCTCCAGACTGGGGGATGGCCTCTGCGCACCCGCGGCTCAGCTGGGAGCCCACGGCAGCAGTTGCGCCTGGCACACAGCAGACTGTCAGGACCCGGCAGACACCCGCTCCGCTGTCCGTGATCACCTGCCTGCAAGCCTGCATCTCCGCCTACACACCGCGGGGCCCACCGCACGACAGGCGGGCCCGCCACGGAAGCTGCCGTGGTTTTCAGCCGGTCACAACCCCGCGTCCACTAGTAATTACCTGGAGATCGTGCGTGATGCTGGGGAGGTGCCGCGGGCCAAAGTGCCCTTGACTCCTGGCCGTGCACCCGGCTCAGACCAGCAGACTCCAGAGCCTTCTCTCATCCCCTGAGGCTGGAGCCCGGCTCTGTGTCGCGAGGGGAGCTAAACCAGCCAGAAGCCGTGTCATTCCTCCTTCCAGCCAGCGGTGACTTCCAAGGAAGGTAGAGCCCACGGTTCCCAGTAAGTTTCTCGTTCTTTAAAAAAGAGCCAACCAATCGTTCCAAGACGCTCTGCGGCCTCGTGAAGCGACACTCAAGCCCATCGCGACCCACATGGCCCCTAAAGCAACCAAACGACGACAGTGTGTGACTATCCATTTTTCCTTTTTGGCAAAAGTTGTCGTGTCAAAGAGCAAAGGTCAGGCTGCTGACCTGACCTGTGGGCGCTTCCCGCCGGATGCAGGAGAAAGTCCCAACTCCCTCTTTTGGTGGGAGAGCCTGTCGAGTCCTTCCTTTTCCTGGGGCGACAGAAAGTTGTGTGCCTCGACAAGCAAGTGGGCCTCAGGCTCCGGCTGCCGTGGGTAGAGTGAGGACAAGCCGTCGGGGGTCAGGGCTCGCGGTGATGACACTGCAGGGACGGAGTCTAGCAGGTGACCCGCAGGGCAGAGCCTAGTGCAGTTCCAAGGAGGGAGGCGCAGAGGGGGAGGTGAGGGGGGTCCAGAGAGGGAGGGCGAGCCAGCGGCATGACCGCATGGTGCACTCTTCCATCCCTTCAGAACATAATACACATTCCGTCAAACCCCTGACAGAATTTGCCAAAATGATTGTAAAGTTCCTAAAAACAGCTGAGAAGTTCTGGAAAACAAAAAAATAGGGTGAGCGCTGTGAAACACAAAGGACGGGTGATAAAGCAGCATGAGGGGGTTGGCGGCACCAGAGCGAGCGTGATTTCGCAAGAACCTGGGCATCGGGAAGAGAGGTCGCTTACAGACGGAACCGGGGCAGCGTCTCCGAAAACCAGCCGCTGAGAAGCTCATGTTGGCCCGGCACCGAAACAAATTCCAGATGCATCCAAGAGTTTTCAGGAACAATGAAGCCATGAAAATTTGGGAAGACAAGCCGGGTACCTCCCGGGCTCCTGGATGGGAAGCAGAGACGCCGCAGAGCGAGAGGTTTGACCACGCAGTTTTAACACAAGAAACTCAGCGACAGACAACAGAACAGGGAAACCATGGGCCACAAGTGGGGTCGGACGTGACGTCCCTGATGCATACAAAGCTCTCACCAATCACCCCCAGAACACTAAGACCCCGGGAAAAACGTCGCCGTGTACAGTGGCAGGCATTTAACGGCAGAGTAGGGATTAAAGGCCGGCGGATGGAACGGTAGTGAGATATATTTTGAGATATATTTTCACCTAACAAGTGAGGCGAGATCCAAACGTGGAAGCAGAGAAACCACAGACCTGCGTCCTGGTCCCCACAGCATGGCATGTCAGTGAGTTTCAGCTTCTCCAAGCAAAAAACGCTCATGTCCTTTGAGCCAGGGATTCTGCTTCTAGCATTTTCTCCCAAGGAGAGAATCAGAGAGGCTGTAAAGGATTTGCAACAGTGTTCACAGAGACTTTATTTATGACAGCAAGGCCCTGCACCCCACGTCCATGCGTGTCTCTCTCCCAGGTGAACAGCAGGAGTAACCCCAGGGGTGGTTTGCGAAGGTTCTCTGCCACCTGGACCCAGCCTCGCATCTGGTACCACCTGCCTCATCCAGGGAAGGCATCCCCTGGCCCTGGCTCCCCATTCCTTATGCAGCAGTGAGCCCCACTTGCCTGCTCTCCCAAACTGCTCCTACAGGGAAATTCTGGAGCCCCTGCTGCTTCCAGCCCCTGGACGAGGCTCTAGATGCAATCCCAGACCTGGCTTCGATCCACCACTGCCAGACCCCGATGCAAGGGGCAAGATCTGGAGAAGCCTCTGGAGGCCGGGAGGGGACATCTTCCCTCTCCGCTGAAGGGCTGTGCCCTGCGCTCTCTGCAGGGGCCATTCCCTGGACCAGTGCGGCAGAGAGGACCAGAGCACTCAGAGCGTCTGGGGGCCCGGTGGGTGTGGAGTCTCCTAGCCTCTCCCCTGAGCGGGAGCAGCTGTGGGCTGCACTCAGAGCCTCCAGGAACAGGGGGGCACACGTGGGTTACACTCACGCACGTTCACGGGAAGGTGCTGGAGCTGCTCATGGAGGAAAGGAGACCCAGCAGCCAGGATGGGGAGAACAGGTGGCCTCGGGCGGCCGGCAGGTGCCATGCTGTGGCATCAGGACAGACGGGCTGCACGGGCCTGGCCGGCCTGGCCCCACGGGGCTGGGAGCTGGGGGTTAAAGTCCCAGCCAGGCTTTGCCTGGGCTTACTGTCTGTGGGACCGCAGGGATGGGGAGACTGTGGTCAGCCTGGGAAAGCCAGTGCTGGGCTTTTCACAGTCGAAGCAGTGGAAAAGGGGGAGTAGGGGAGCCTCACAGGTGTGGCTGAAAACCCCAACTGGGCCCCCTGTGAGCTGCTGCCGACAGCCCAGCTCAGAGCAGCCCCCACCCTGACACCGTCTGGGCTTCTCCTTCCGTTGCTCGTCCCCCAGCAGTGGGAGGGCCTTGGAGTGTGCCGTGCTTGGGCACAGGGGGCATCCCATTTCATAGAACAGAAAACAGAGGCTGGAGGAGTAACCACCCCGGGACTGGCCTCGGCCCACTGCCCCATTCCGCCTGGCCCCCCCGCTCTCCTTTCTTAGCCACGCCAGGCAGCTCCTGAAGGCCAGAGCGGCTGCCCCGAGCTCGGCAGGGTTCTGACTTTGCTTTTGGGACCCTGGCTGAGAAACACCTGTCCAAGGCGGGTGACAGCAGTCAGGCCAGGAGGTGGGCCCTGGGCCCAGCAGCCGGACTGCTCTTGGAGGACCCCCACTGGCTACATGCAAAAGGGACTGACATCTTCTCCTGCAGGCCTGCTGTGAGGCCCGACCTTGTGAGCCCACCCTGCCCAAAAGCCTCTGCGGGTTGCCTACTCCTCCGCGTGGCAGTTCCTGGGACGGCAGCTGTTCACGGCAGAGTCAAAGGGTGAGGCCGACCCTGTGTGTCATCCCCTGGAGCAGGACCGCTGCCCCGAGGGGCCCCTGCACACGCACCCCTTCCCTCCACGGCAGCCTGCCTTTCTCCAGGCACCCACGGCTCTACTCCTATCCAATGGCACACCTGGCCCACAGCATCCACGCTCACTCTGTGGGCTATGCAACGTGCCCCCTCATCCTGGAGCCGGGCTGCAGTCTCCGGGCCCCGGGCCAGGCTCTGAACATCAGGTGTGTCCGGGCCGGCAGCTCAGGCCCAGGCCGAGCACCTGGCTGCCTCGGTCACTTCCTGGGCCAAGACCGCTCCCAGCCGCCATCACCCCATCTGGCCAGAGCTTTCTCGGGGTTGACACAGGCTTTCCTCTCCTCTTCCATCACCATCTTGGCTCTGTAGATGGCCCATCTGAGTTGGGAGATGGAGTGCATTCTGCCTTTAAATCTGGGCCGAGGCTCAGAGGGGAAGCAGCGCTAGAGGTAGTCGGGGGCTGCTCACCCTGCCCCACCCCTGAAGTGCAGGTGGACAGACAGCTGTCCGTGTGTCCCTGGGCCAGGCGCCAGGCCAAGGACCTCTCATTCTTCAGTCTCACCGAATCTCCACCATGACCCTAGGACAGAGGCACCTGGGCCTGCTGCCTCAGGAAATCAAACCCCAATTCATAGGGGCTCTACCGTCACACCTGCCTCCCAAATACGACCACTCGGTAAGAGCCCACCCGCTCCGCGCAGTGGCTATGGACAGCAGGTGGGGGCAGAGCGGAGTCCGGGGGCTGCTGGGTCCTGAGGGGGTAGCTGGGATGGCGCCGACGGGGTGAGGGGGTCCCTGCTCTGTGAGAACGGGCTGTTATCCCCCTTCCCTGGCAGCAGGGTGTGTGTGTGTGGGAGGTCTCTGCCTCCACAACCCCCACAGTCAGAGCAGGGAACAGGTGCTCTGCCCCCACTGGTCCCCACAAAGCATTCAGGATGAGATTAATTTTTGATCAAAGCAGAACAAGAGTCAGGACAGAACGCCTTGGGCTTGGTTTGGGGCCCATCAGGTCTGCTGTGCTGTGCTTTGTCAGAAGCCCTCACAGTTTCTGAGCTTCTGGGGTCCCCAGATGCCTGTCCTTCTTGAATGGGCAGGGCTGATGGAGCAAACAGGAGCCGGGGCTGAAGCCTCCCCCTGGGCACTTTCCATGTGTCCCTGGCCCCAGGGGTCCCCACCCTCTAGGGAGCTGCCTGTCATCTACCTCTGGCGTCCACACTTCCGAGCAGGGCTGCTGGCGTCCCTCCTTCCTATCTGATCTGCTGTTGCCCCCCACCCCCCCACCGCTTCCCCGCACCGTTCCAGGCAATCCACGGAGTCCGGAGGACGGTGGGGGGACTCGGAGGGGCTCTCGGCACCTTGGAGCACAGACACACACAGACCACAGCTGGCGAGTGCAGAAAGCTGCGTGTGCAACGTGTTCCGGAACAGAGGAGGGAACCCCGGCTCTGCATGGAGAGAGGGAGGAGACAGCTCTCCCCCGAGGTGCTGGCCCCGAGGGTGGGCTGCGGGAGGCCTGCAGGGCTTCCTGGGACGGGGGCGGCGGGGCAAGAGCAGGATGCTAGATGACACAGCTGATGTCTGTTCCAGGGGAGAGCGGCCTGGGAGGCCTGGAAACACAGGCGGGGGCCCATGTGCCCGGCCCTTGTCCCAGGGCAGGAGGGCAGCCTTGGCTGGAAAGTGGGGACCCACCCTTGAGTAGCGTGCATCTTGAAGGCCGGGATATGGGCTCCTTAGAGCCCTGTAGCAGCTGGGATCCCGAGAACACAGAGATGGGGCTGGACGGCAGCCGTGCCACGGCAGCCCACACCCGGGCTCTGCACCTCTCTCCAGAGCAGCTCTGGCCGTTGCAGACTCTGCCATCACTGCATGCGGACCGCCGCAGGAAGCACCCATTCCCCTGGGGATCCTCCCAACCATCTGGCCCACGGGGCCCAGGTAGACGCGACATCATTGCCTGGCTTTGGGGACCTCAGGGGGCCACCGCATCTGGTCTGCAGATGGGCGTGTCACCAAAGGCCGGCTCTTGAGAGCCAGTGGGTTTCCTCTGCAGACATCGCTGAAGGGAAGCTGCCTTCCTGCTACCTCACGCTGGAGGGCCACCGTGACGAGGAGCCTGCCCAAGATAGGAGCAAACTGACAGGAGAGTGGAACCAAGAGGGGACATCAAACCAGCCTGTTAGGGCACTGGATCCAGCCATGCCTGAAGCTGGATCTTCAACTTTTCTGTGATATGACTTAATAAATGATCTTTTAGCTTAAGCCTGTTCAGGCTGGAATTTTCTCTCTGGCAAACTGAAGTCCATACTGATGTATTATTTGTGCCAGTTTGCAATGCCTGGGCTCAGAAATCAATCTCAATGAGAAATTTCCTAAAAATTACCTTGTCTCCATGAGGTGAAAGACTTAAATACTGTATGTTTGGGCTAGACCCAGAGACCTCCTACTCTGCACACCTTGCTTTGCAGATGAGGCCAAGCGAGTCAAGTAACTCACCCAGGGTCTCAATCATTCATTCACAAATACTGACCCGCCCTGTGCGGTCATATTCTGCACATTCGTCCTGTGGGCAGGACAGACGAGTTCAGGGCAGAGTCGGCATGAGGACCCATGTGTCCTTAGTCCTACCTCACAGCGCTCCCCTCTGTACCATGATGCCTCAAGGCTGGGGCCCAGAGTGGTCAAGTGACTTGCCCATGGTCACACAGCCAGTACCCGGCAGAGCCGCCTACAAACGCTGGACTCTCCTTCGACTCCAGCGCAGCTAGCATGCACACTGAGAAGGCTGCCTCCCTGTCTTCTCCACCAAATACCAAAGACTCCCTGCTTTCGCCAGCCGGGGCTGCAGCCCTGCCCCTCCCTGAGTCCTGCAGCTCAAGGCCCAGAGTCCTGGTCAGTGCCCGTCTGCATCCGACACGGGCAGGCGGGTCTCGCCCTTTCTCCCGCGGGGGGCACAGCACACCCTCTCCTGGTGTGCACCAGGCTGCTCTGCCTCTGTCCTCGTGTCCTCGACTGGCCTCCGGGAGGCTGTAACCCCGTTACGGTGGAAGGAGCGAACACGCAACTCCCTTGCTATCTCCCTCCCTGCACCCATCCGAGGTTGCGCGGGGGGCGCAGAGCGGCAGGGACACGCGCGCGGGGCTCTTCCTGTGTGGTGCTTAGAGGATCCCCTTGCACGGAGCCTGGCCCTTAGCACTTAGCAGCTTCTCTGGTCCCTGCCCCTGCCGCCTGCCCACCGGACCGACGGGCCAGCGCTCCGCCTGCCTGCCTCCCCAGAGCGCGCACGCTCCTGCACGCCGCCTAGCTGCCCCCTCCCCTGCCCAGGCGCTGCGGGAGGCGCGAGGAAGGACCCTCGATGGAGAAACGTGCCCACTGCACGCGTGTGCCTGTGGCAGCAAGGGCACCGGGGTCACTGCGGCCACGGGGCAGATGCCACTGTCCGCATCGCCTTGCTTCAGGAGGAGGCATCTCTGATTAGCCCTGCCCCCCACCTGCTCTGAGGCACGAAGTCCACCCGCTTCATCCCACCCCACCGGGGCGCTTCCCAGTGCCCAGGATTCCCGCAGCTGCTCTGCTGCCTCGAGCTCTGGGAGTCTGGGGACCTCTAAGTGCAGGACAGCAAAGGCCTTCCGGTCCCCACAGACACCGCGAGGCGCTCAGGATGAGGAGCATTTTGACATGAGTGGTCATGGTCCCGTGAGGAGGAAGACAGGACAGTCCCGTCTGGTAACGAAAGCAGAGGTGTCCACACGGTGCCCGAGGAGCTGGGCACAGAGGGAGAGAGCTGGACCTGTACCGGGGAGGGGGCCAGAGAGAGCTTTCTGGGGGAGAAGTGCCCGGAGTCGGGTCCTGGGCAGGAGGGGGAGGAGTCAGGGCCAAGACGGGGGGCAGTGCCCCGGACACGAGTGTACGACGCTCAGCAGGCTTTAAAAGCACTTCTTAGCATCTCCTGCCAGTGCCCTCAGCGACACAGCTGGCTCGTCAAGCGCATGTGTGGGGCCAGATGGCCCTGGAGCATGGACTCCTGGGTAGGGCCCCCCTTTCCCTTCTGGGGTTATGGGGTCCAGGAGCCTGATGCTGGAAGATGTGGGGAGACAGCACGGGGAGTGGGCGGGGGCCGGGGGGAAGGCCTCCAGGGCTGGAGCGGGGAGCCCTCCCGGAGAGCAGAGGGAGATGAGGGGCCCCGGGGAGCAGGAGGGGCCTGCACCCCGCCTCAGGGCCCGGCCCCGGCTGCAGCGTCCCGGGCTCTCCCTGTGCACTAGGGCACGGCGTTAGCTCGGTGCCGCTGGAAAATACCTGTGCACCACGTTCAGGCAGCTCTCCCCACAAAACAAGCCACGTGTCCATCGACGGACGGGGAGAGCCAAAATGCGTGTGTGCACATGATGGAGGATTCTCCAGCCGTGAGAAGGAATGAGATGCTGACACGGACTGTGAACCTTGAAAGCGTGTCCAGTGAAAGAAGCCAGCTCGAGAGCACAGACACCGCAAGGCGTTCAGCACAGACAGATTCCTAGAGACACACAGTGACCTCCAGGCCACCGGGCCGGGAAGCGGGACAGGGGAGGAGCGGGAGCTGGAGGGCGGCGGGGCTCCTCCAGCCGCACCGTCCGCGTCTGGGGGTGGGGACGGCCGACTTCATGCTGCGCGCATTGAGCCCTGATGCACGCCAACCCGCCAAGGTCACGCAGAGCACGGAGCGGGCTTCAGGCCCGTGGGGACCCAGCCAGCTGACACGGCTCCCTGTGCCTGCCCGCCTCCCTCCCTGGCTCCTGTCCTTCCCTCCGAGCATCCGCCCTGGCCCTGCGACTCAGGATCTGCCTCCAGTGCCTTGGGGCCCCGAATGCAGGCCTCCCACGGGCGGTTCCCCGGGGCGGGTGCCCCGGTTCCAGCTGCCCAGTCATGTGCTCCCCTCAACCCAACCCCCGTGCTGACCGACGTGGGCTCAGGTGCCAGAGAGGACTGGGGCCCCCACCTCCTAGACAGCGCAAGCTACGTCCGCATCCCCTCCCTGCCTGTGTTCCTGCTCGGCCTCGGGAGGGAGGGAGGCCCCCTGAGGGGAGGCGCATCTGCCAGAACACCGGCCGCCCGGCCCCACCACACCAGAGGGTTAGTCCTGGGGACAGACGTACAGAGACTCCGACAAACCTATTCTCCAGGCACCGCATTTCACTCATCCTCGCTTGGGGCAAGTGTTGCTTGATGGTTCCAGAAAAATCCTGCTAAATTAGGTCCCCAGTGCTGTCATTTGGTTTATAACAGTAAGCTCTCCAAATGTCGAAAGGTCACCTGACAGGTTTCTGTGGGCTGGCCCAGAGGCCCAACCGCCTTCTCCTGCAAGCCTGGGGCTCTGTCCTCCGAGGGAGTTCCCGTCGTTCGCACCTGAAGCGCAGCCCTCTACCTGCCCCAGCTGGCCTGAGCAGGGGCCCCGGCAGAGGAGGGGGAGAGCCAGAAGGGAGCCCAATCTGCTCTCAACGCCATATGACGTCTCTCAGGGAGCCTCCACACGAGAGACAGCCCTGGAAACAAACTCAGGGCCACGTCTTATCTAAAAGGGGTACAAACGATGATCCACGGGGCTTTCTGAGTCCTGAGAAGGGGCCGTGACCAGGAGGTCAGGCTGACATGGGGGCCGGGCCTCTGTTGGGGCCCCGCAGGAACCGTGGGCAGCCGAGCACAAACTTCCCCGCAGAGGCCAAGGTCCCCACGCGCCTGGATTCCCGTGGAGGCAGCAGCCTCTCCCTGGGAGCATGTCCTGGGACGCACGAGGAGGGCTCTGGGTGTGAAATGAACCCTCGGGTCTGAAAGCACGACTGGATGGGTCTCTGGCCTCCGGTCGGCCCAGCCTTTGGCAGATCCGTCTCTCCCAGCGGGGACCTGGAGCCTCCTGGTGGCGCACCGACATGGTGCTCCTCATCACGGGCACGCTGCGCGGCCCAAGAGCGCCGGGCCAGGCCTCCCGGAGGGCAGGGGCGCCCGGAGCTTACCGGCCTCACCGACGAACACCTCCACAGGCGCGCTGGCCGGGCTCTCGCCGATGATGTTGTAGGCCGTCAGGATGACCTCGTAGCGCCGGTATTTCTTCAGACCTACAGGTGGAAGGAGACAGGGGTCAGCTGGCCCGGGACCACCTCCGCGCCTGGGAACCACACCGAGGGGCCTCTGGGCAGGCCGTGCGCATCCCCAGAGGGTCTGTGGAGCGGCCTTTTGCTCCTTCCCCGGCCCCGGACTAACAGCCACCGGGCACGGCAGCAGACCCGTCCCACTCTGCGCTCAGGGTGAAGGCGGCAGCAGGCCGTCTTCGGAGGGAAGAGTGAAGGTGGCAGAACGTGACGTGGGCTTCCTTTGGTCCAGAATCGCTCCGTAAGAGCAGATGGGGAAAGGCCCTGGCATTTAAGGAGGAAATACACTGGCAATGCAAAGACCTCTGAGTTTTTAACAACCACATTCCGGATGACAAGGGCGTGTGAAGCCACATACATAGGGTTCCACAGGTCGAGCCCGAGCGACAGGACAAAGGTAGCTGACCTGTGAACCAGAACATTCTGAAAGGTTCTCCGGCTGGTTACTATTGCTTTCCTGAGGCCCTACGTGCGGGTCTGACCCCTGAGTGAATGGTGACTCAGGCCAGGCTTCAGATCTCGCCTCCCGGGGAGCCGCCGGTCCTCAGAGGTTCAGTGAATCGGACCACCAGGTTCCTGCCCCCGCCGGCTTCCCGGACTTGCCCACAGAGCGGAGAAGGGGCCGCCCTCTCCCACTCTCAGCCTTGCCGGAGCTGAGCTGCCCAACAGGGCTCGTGCACCCGCCTGGCCTGTTCGTCCTCACCCCCAACCCCGGGACCGTGCGGCTCCTCAGCGTCAACTGAGACAAGCCAGGGTGGACGTGGACGCGGGCACGGTTGGGGCCCCTCTGCGTCTTCATCACCCGGACTGCAAAGCCTGGAGCACGGTCCAGCCAGGGAAGCCTCGTCTCTGGAACCCCGGGCCGCACCCAACTCTCGAAGCGGCTCCTCAGCGGGGAGCGTCCCGGTGGATGAGGCAATGGGTGGAGGAGTGGCGGCTGGGTGGGGACATGGGGCGGACCACAGATGGTAGAGCCATGTTCGGGGAGCAGCGTGGAGGAGAAAATGGCTCATGTGAATCCCCCCCCAAACCCCGGCCACCAGGGCGGGGCCAGCTGCCCAGGAGCTGCCTGGGATGCAGTGGGATGGCGCTGGCCCGCCCCGGAAGAGTGCCCGCACACGGTAGGGCCTTGGGAGGGCCAGCCGCTCCTCGTCCCCCTTCCCGTATCCACGTGCCAGTCCTGGGAAGCTCCCGCACGGGAATCACATTGGGGGGCCCCCTTCGCTCTGCATTTGGACCATGAAACCCTCTGAGGACCAGGAGCACGAGGGCAAGCAACATGGCGCAGCTGGGGGCAAGGGACGATGAATGGGCAGCCGAAGTGGGGTGAGTGCACGCAGTGGGGCCTACTCAGCCCTGAAGAGGAAGGGTGTCCCAGCCGTGTCCCAGCGGGGATGAAGCTCGAAGGGGAAGAAGCCAGACACAGCGGGACAAGTACTGTGTGCGGTCCCTGGAGGCCTCAGATGCAGAGACAGAAAGGAGAGGGTGGGCGCCAGGGGCCGGGCGGGGGAGGGGTGGGAGTATCCGGTGGGGGAGGGGTGGGTGTTTCATGGGGACGGAGGCTCAGCCCGGGAAGAGGGACGGGACCCTGGAGGCGGCGCTGATGGTTGCACGCAGCCTGAACGTGCTCAATGCTCCCAAACTGCACGTTTAAAAACGGTTACGATGGTAAATTTTGCATATATCTTACCACAGTTAAATAATGAGTAAAAGGAAAATGTCAAAGGGAACCAGACAGGAGATCTGGCTCCATCTGACTTTCCCAAACTCAAAGACCAGCTGTCAGTCAAACCCCTTCCCGGACTCTGCTTCTGGAAGTTTCCTGCCTGCCCAATGGTTTTGGTGTGTTGAGAAGCGGCGTTGGAGAGGGGGAGTTCCAGAAATTAGAGCCATTAGTCCAAGCTGCTTTTCACTTGGTCCCCGGAGAGGCCAACTGGCGTGGGCCCCGGGCTGCCCCGCGGAAGGCAGAGAGCACTTACGTGTTAATTCATACGTCGTTAACGTGGAGCTGTTCACCGTCTTGAAGCTGCTTTGGGCTATTAGGGGTAAGCAAAGCAGAAAGGCAGTCAGCCAGCAGGAAACAGGAAGTGCCGATGCGGGCTGCAGGCAAGGCGGGCCGGCCGAGCTTGGAAGCCACTGCCCGTCCACACCGCCGCCTCCCCACTTCCCACTAGCTCACTGGGGGTCCCTGCACTGCTTCCGGAGACAGCCAGGCCGCCCGGCCCGCGACAGGTGGGGTCCGCACTCACCCTCTAAGTGCATCAGACGCGTATCCGGCCCCCGAGAGGACAGGAAATGGGTTTCTCCCGGGGTGGCAGGCACGGCTGTCGGCCCACCTGTGCTCAGGTAAGAGCCCTGCTCTGACGGGGCCGGGCAAGCCACAGACCAAGAGCACCTGTGCAGGTCAGTGGACCCAGCCGCATCCTGGGTCCTTTGATTTTGCTACAAAGCCCAGGTGCTGTCTGGCCACAAGCCAGGGACACCTGCGGGGCAGGGATGGGGTGTGTGGCCAAGAGCGCGGAGACAAATGAGCCACTTGTTCCGGTCAGCCCCACTCCTGGGATAGGCCGGGCCAAGCTGCTCCCGTCGGCTACCCCGTGACCCCAGCAGGCCCAAGGCACAGCCTGCTCTGTGGTGGGAGGTGGAGAGAGCAGGGATGCAGTCCCTGAGCCGCCCATTTGGAAGCCACAAGGATGTCGAGGGGCAGGGAGGATCTGTGACACTGTTTGGGGGATGCCCTCTGACCCCTTCTGACAGAGGAGGGTGGGGGAGAGCAGCGGCCTTTCCAGAACTTCCAGAAGCTGCCTCAACTGCTGTTGGGTCTGAGTCGTAGCCCGAGCCAGGGGTACTGGGGAGAGTGGCTGAGCAGGTGGATCGGCTCTGGGTGAGAGGGGTGTGCATGCACCGTGAGGCCGGGGGGCAGGGGGCGCCCGACTGGACCCCATCAGAGCAGCAGGCTGTGACCGGCCTCTGTCCATTCCCCCCCGCCCCAGATGGGCTCCACATGGGGCAGCGATATGATGTCCCTGGAGGGCCTGGCTCATCTCCTCCCTCCCCGCCACAGCCCACCAGCCTCACGCAGGCGGGTGCTCCTGGCTGGCCCACCAGGAGGCCCCATCCAGGATCCCCCTCGGCTCTCCCTGCCTCCTGACCACTTAGCTTTGCCAGGCCCTTGTGTCCTTGGTGAAATCCCTTTACCCAAATCGCTCCTCCTCCGAGAAGCCTCCCCTGATCTCCCCTGGGTGCAAGCCCCCAGAGCCCAGGAGCTCTCCGTGGATCACCACCTCTCCGTGCACACCTGGGCTGTCCCGGAGACCTGCCACCCCAGTGGCTGTGCCCCCGGGAGGTGAGCCGCATCTCCTCTCACCCTCTAGGGCATTTCCCACCATGCCTTGCATGGAGTCAACATGCACAAGGGTTCCTCTCCCCAGTGCATGGTGTGGTGCCTATCCTGGGACAGGGAAAGAGTCTCACCTGCGAGCTCGGCCCGTAAAGCTGAAGGGGTTTTGAGCGTCTTGGACACGGTGGCCGAGGCTGCCTCTGACTCTAGCTCCCGGTAGTAGATCCGGTAACCCTGCAGAAGGCCGTTCAGGCTCTCGTCTCTTGGAGGCTGCAAATACATCACGGTCAGCCCGCCGGTGGGGCCTGGCGACCTCCACTTCAAGCTGAATCAGTCAACTGTGCTGGAGGAAGTCACTAATTCAAACAGGTGGTTTTTGGTTGTTTACGGACAAAAAGGCAGGTGCCGCATTCATGAGGAGGAGCACAGGGGACCCCCAGGTAGAGGATCAGGCTCTGAGAGCCCGGGCTTCCTGGTGCCAGTGTGTAGGCACTGTGCATCTTATCCCACGGGCAGCCCCCCGGAATACTTGTAGGAGCCCCGGGCTAAGGCAGAGGATGACCGCCCAGGTCGCAGGTGGGCGAGGAAGCTGCCCGTTGCCTGGTGAACCCAAAACTCTAAGGGAACTATGCATGTGAGCTGGTTCTGCATCACCCACCGGCTGGCCCCACCCTTTCCCT